CACACTCCCCCCCCCCACACACACACACATACACAAGTTTAAAAACTATTTAGAAATGCAGAAACAGAAACTAGACCTTACTTTTGAGAGCATGTTCATTCCCATTGCATCCCCTGTTTTCGACTGAAAACGGATATAAAGGTTACGACCAGCCAAACTGATGTGAAGCTTCTGTAGACGAGCAAACCTGTAAGAGTCAAATGACAACATAGGAAATATTTCCTTTCTCCCTTATCTCCATAAGGGCTAACTGATATTCAGGTACAAATTACTGATAACCCATCATTAATGGTCGATAACCCTGCTAACCATAATCTGCTCCTCCTCAATGTAGAAAGGGAGGCCATCAGCATCAATTATCAGACATAGAGTTTTCTCAAAAGAAGGGCTTAAAATGGACTAGTCCTGAGAGTATTTTTTACTGCTTTTTTATACAATTTTATTTTTTCTTGCTATGACTAAATTGCTTGCTGTCCTATGACATGCAGCATTTATTAATAATGCAAATGTTAACCAGATAGTAAACATTAATAATGTTGCTCCATTCTCAGACCAAAATTATGGCAAATCCCAGATAGGAACATGATAATTTCTTGCATCATAATATAAATAGATACAATTTGGAGCTTTCTAAAATGAAGTGTGCACACACACATTTTATCTCCATCTATATATCTCTCATCTAAAATGTGAAATGCTTTACAGGAAGTTATACTAACCTGCTTGTGCTGTCAAAGGACTCTTTGATTACTTTAAACCCTTCAGAGTTTTCAAGCCAAGCCTTCACCTGTGCAGCAAGACAGGCAGTGGGTAGTCTTACAACAGGTCCTCTAGTCATTCCATCTCCTAGAACACAACTGCTTGCTCCTCCACTAAGCTAAGACCAAAAGGAACACGAACACTATTATGAATGACTGATAATGTTATAGAAACAAAATATATAGTGATAATTTTTAAATAAATTGATAACTTCGAGGCCAGGCAAGCAGCTAGCCAATTCCGTCAGGTACTCACACATATTGCTCTGCACCCTCTGTTTGTACTTGCGACTAGACAGCCTTCTGTTGTTGCCATTGGAACTTGAAACTCTTTGCTATCCAGAAAAAGAGGCCCAGCTACACCTACAGGGATGGGCATGTATCCAATCACATTTTCACAGCAAGCTCCCATTACCTTAGAAATAAAGTTAAACGTAAATGTCATTAAAGATGTTACATTGTTATAACATACTTCATGAACAAGTCTCTGTTTTTTCTTTATCCACAGAGCAGATTCCCATCCCAATGCTTATAAATAAATCAAACAAGTTACTTATATACTACCAACTGAATTATGCATACAATGGAACTTTGTTTTAATGCATTTTATGGTGTTTTTATATTTGCACAGTTTACTATACTTGTAAAAGAATAATAGTAATCTAGTGTAGCTAACTAGACTGTTTAATTCTTGAAGTAATGCCCAGTAATGAATAAAACTAAATTTTTTTAATGTTAGTGACTGCTATGTCCTTGTATCTATCTAACAGGATGTGTTACTGTATGACATGAAAACTGCTCTAAATGGACTGTCTGACTTTGTAAGATTTTCCTTTCAATTAAGACTAAAACTCATTTTTCCATTTATCCTACTGGACTCATCCGTAGCATTAACAGAATCCTATGTTAGTGGGATCAGAGACCTGCATATAGTTATCCTTTTGTGTCAAATAACCAAAATTATTTAGATTCCCAAGATTTAATTTAAAATAAATTACCCTGTACTACACTGAAGGTTCTCACAACAGTAAGAACTGAATGCAAATCAGTGTAATCTGCCATTTTTGAAGTACTTGTAATGAATCAGATACCAAACTAAAATCAAGGTCAGAGAGCTCTCTGATAACTACTCAGAAATTATTAGTATACATGAATTATAATAATTTTGAAAAAACTGAGATAACAGAAAAGTTCCCTTGCAAATTAATTCACTCTTACTTATCTACATCATCCTTACCAAAGAATAATTGTAATTCCTGTAAGGAAGATACTCTAAGGATGTAGGTTCAGGGAGCTTCTGAGATAAAATCTGTCTGCGGATGGATACACCACGTTCTTGAGTCTCCATCATCATTTCCAATTTATAGGCAGGAATGTGCTTAGCATTGACAAGGTTGATGACCTCAGCATCAGTGAGAAATTTTGCACCCTTCTAGATATATTGAAGAAAAAAAAAAAAAAGATGCTTTGACTGCATGGTAGAAACTGGAAGTACAACTATTTTTCCAGTGTGGAAAAAGATGCCCTTTATTTCAGAATCAGCAGATCAACCTTTTGAAGAGATATTTCAATATCAATATGAGATTTGCAAGATGCAGAAACATTCCAAATTAACTTCTGGTTTACTTATATCAGTTATAAATGCATGTGACAATGAACAGGCAAACTCTGCACTAGCAATGAAAACCTTATACTTCTCTTTTCTCACCTCTGTATTTTGAAGTATACAGAGACATTCTTCAATAGAACGTGGGTCTTTGGGTAATTCAACTTCAGGCTCTTTTCTATTAAATGAAGAAGTTTCCATGGGGGCACAACTACCAACAACAAATGTAGCTTTGACTGATGACTCTGCTAATACAGGTTTTATGACTTCAGCTGCATAAAGACAATTAGAAATAGATTTTAGGTTACCAAAAATTTAAACCAGACAAAATATTTTTAGTTATAAACCAGATTCAGTATTAAATTAATTATTCAATACCGATGTATAGGATCAGGCCCAAAATATAAAGATACCCTAAACAAAATTACCATTTCCCTCTCTGGAAATTATAGCTTCTTCACCCATGCTGGATTTCTGATTATTTTGTAAGAGTCCAGATTGTCTTCTGCAGCAGTTCTCAGGAATCTTTTTCTGGATCATCAATGGAGATGTTATAGGGTTTTTCAAAGAAAGTGTAGACTCAGTTTCTGTTTGTTCAAAGAAGATGTATTTCACAGCAAGGAGAAGGGCTAAACCAAGAGTGATTACTTGCTCAATATCCATACTTGCCATTCTAAATAAAGAATGCAAAAAACACCAAGTTAAAATGTGTTTTAGAAATGTATTGATGTGGCATTGTTAACCCCTCGCCCCCTCAGAACCTCATACAATAGTTTAACAAGCAAAACAGAAGACAGTATCTATCTCAAGGAAATGGTACAAAACCAATCTACGATACATCTCTGCTAGCTAATTTTGTATTTCCGTTCTGTATTTTATAAAATATACCGTATCTTCATTAGTTTTAACTAGAGCAATATGCTGAACTTAAGGTATGCAGATGTAACTAAGCCAGTTATGCTATCCGCTTTATCCCTGCTTAAATGGAAAAAGAGACAGAGTCCAGTTTTCAGAGCTAATGGAAATCTACAATTCCCACTAATTCCAGGTGAATTGTGGTCAGTCAGTACTTCTAACAATCAAACCAACAGTACTTCAATTAGAAAATAAATGTATTTAATGGAGAGATAACAAAGATAAGTATCTGTTTCTGCCTTCCTTGAAGGCACTGAAATCTTGTGCACGTTTTCCCAATGAATACAGAAATTGGTATGAACAGCTAAATAAACTACTTCAGTGTCATTAAACTCCTAAATCTCCCTCCACAACTAGTTTGCTCAAATTTTAATTCTCTGAAGTTTAATTTCTCTGAAGTTGTTTCAGATTTGTGAACTTGTAATTGATGACTTACAAAAAGGTCATTCTGCAGTTTTTGAAGAAAACTGTTCACCACCAAGCAAATTATGTTCAACTAAACAAAACACAGGACCAAGGAAAGAAAGAGAGATCTTGGCTTTAGGAAGGTCACAATTTCATTCAACCTATAGATATAATGATGATATATCTAAGTAGATAAATAAAAGAAATGCAGGTGCTGAGAAAATTTAAGTTATTATTTCAATTATTTCTTGCAATGTCTCTTTATTCATCTGCTACAGCACTCAAGTTAATTACCTTATTTACCTGAATCCAGGGTGACTTCGAATTTAAGATGACTCCCCAGTAATTAGATTCTATACATGGAATATTATAAATTTATTATAATTGTCCACATATAGAATCTAATTAGTGGAAGGTCATCTTAAATTCATCCCCCACACTGCTGTGGCAGGGAAAGCAGTGGTGGGGGACTCTTTGCTCCCTGTACCTGCCCTCCCTACCACCAAACTGCTGCTGTCTCCTGTTGCTTGACCCCCACCCCCCACCCCTGCTCCTTTTGCAGCCTGCCCCATTTCCTCCCTTCCCTGCCCACCTCCTCCCTTACCCTTTGCTCCTCTAAGGCAGGCAGCTGCAGCACAGCCCAGGCCTAGCCCCAGGACAGCTGGACCAGGGAGCAATGGCAGCAGCTCCTGGCCAAGCCAGGTTGGGGCTGGAGGGACTAGAGTGAGCAGAAGGAAGGGGGGAGAAGGGAAACAAGGAATGGAGAGGCAGACTGCAGCGCGGGAGCAGGCACAGGTATAGGGGCCAAGGTGTGGTGGGGGGGAGAGGGAAGGCTTCAGGTTCCTTCACCACCACGCTGCAGTATCCCCTATTGTCGCCCTTACCACATGCACCCTCCCCTGCCAAACAATTCTGCCCCTCAAAGCCAAAATTCAGCTGCTGCCTGCCGCAAGCTGGTACTTGAATTCAAGACAAAGCTTCAACCCCTCCCCTCTGTCCACAGGGGGGGCGAGGTGGGGGAGCTGATCTTGGATTTGAATAAATGTGGTACATTTAAATGTTAATTCAAAACATCAATTACTGAATCACCACTACATATCAAATATTTATTTTGCTCAGAAAACACACTATTTGGAATCAACAACATAAATGCAGGTTTCAAACATCTACTGTTTATCTAACATTAGATGGGTTAGCAACTATTAAAGGATCAGTTGGATAAATATAATGCATTGTAGTATGATTACAAAACCCAAAAATAGTGCCTTTGACCCTCAGGAGTCTAAAATATACCAGGCCTCAATGGACCATAGCTATGGCATATATAGATTGCTGGTGGCTATCCACAGCCCTCTTTACACTGGCTAGGTGGTAGAGCTGGGGGAGGAATTTTTTTTCCAGATGTAATAAATCTTTTTAGTAGTCAATATTTTCACCTACCTGGAAAGATAGAACTGCCATAAAGAAACATTAGGTTCAATTCTCTTTGGTGTATTTTCATCCAGTCCCACAGTGTTTTCTGTAGTACTGTTCTGAGCAGATGGTTCTGCTATCCAGCGGCTGTGGGCATGAACAAGAACCAAACCTAAAGACTAATAAAAAAGAAGCCAGTTAACCAGTTTGTTTTTCAGCTGTAATTAGTTAACTAATCTAATAACATACAGTAATTTTTTGCTTCTTCCCCAGGATGCAAAGATCTACTTAAAAGATCTAGGCATAAAGTACCATTCTTCATGGCTAAAAGCTTGTCTAATACCTCTCCCAAGTATACATTTGAGCCAATAAAAGCTCTCACAAAAAACCTGGTTCCTGCTCTGATATGTACTTTAATTATGTCCTTACCCTTTTCTAGGAAGAAGGGGAAGGGTAAAGGAAAAAAACCCAACACATACCATAATCATTTTAACCCTCTGTGTTACAGGGTTTGGCTTATTTTCTTCTTCTTCCAAAACACGGGCAAAGTGACTAAGCTGCCATATGGGACGCCCCTCCCGACTTTCCCGAGAAAGCTGCAAAAATAACCAAAGGTCAGTGCACACAATTAAATAGAGCAGGAAGCCAGACTTACCACTTTACCTCTAGAAAATTTAATTACTGAGTTTTTGTCAACAGCAGAGGGCATATCTATGCTGCAAACTTCATGTACCAGACAGCAGAGGACTCAAAAAATACTGTGCTGCACAATCTACCCCCTAATCCAGAAGGACTACCTACATCTGCTTGCTACTGGAGGTGTGGGTAAGTGTGGGCTACTTAGTGCTGACACTCAGCAATGCCAATTAGTCTGTCCATAGCATCAAAGAAACATGGCTACATTGCTTCCAGTTCCAGGAGATACCCCTCTTCTCTACAAGCTGTTTCCAAGGGTGCTGCAGCCTCGTACAGTAAATTAGCAATGTAGCCATACAAAAAGTTGAATTGGTTTAATTTCAAATCAGTATTTAATTCAGTGCAACCCCCACTATAGGCACCTTTTCACTTAAAAGTTGCTTATTCTGGTTTACTTGAAACCAACATCAAACCAACTGAAACTAAGCCAGAATATGCACATGTTTAACTAGATCATTTTAAGAGCTTAATTAAATAGGCATAACTGTCTCATGCAGACACATCATTTGTTATGTTTGATTTACTTAATTATATTAAAAGACTCAGTGACAATATATGAAGAATCAAAGAAAAAAACTGAGACCCAAACTGAAGATTTCAGCCTAAAATGTTCAACTCTGTGCTTTAAATTAAATCTAAATCTATACAGTAAAGATATATATAAAGTAACTATGGGAGCATAATCCGATTTGAGAAGTATTCCAGAAGTTAAACATGAAAACAACTATGAGTTTTCAACAAACTAGAAGATTATATTCTATTTTAGCTTTCAACTTCTTGTATTTATTGTAGTCTTTTGGCCCAGGTGCATCATAACTTTTAGAAATGATTATGATTTCATTACAACAAATTAATACACTGAAGGGACATAAACCAAAAAGGGTAGATTTACCCAAACCCAAGACATCTTCAAATTTAAGACAACTGCCCAACAATTAGATTCTATACATGGAAAATTATAAATGCATTTTAATTTTGTACATACAGAATCTAATTAATTAGTGGATAATTGTCTGAAACTTATCCCTTCTACTGCTATGGCAAAGCAAGCAGTGGCAAGGGACAAGGGGCCAGACCTTAACCTCTTGCTCCCTTGCCCCTGCCTGTGCCTCCCTCTCCAGAGCCCGCCCCCTCTGCCCCTCCATGCCTGTACCCCTCAATCCCTTGCCCCTCCCTACTCCTCCCTGCAGCTTGCACTTCAACCCATTACCCCCCTCCTAACCCTGTAGCACGTTACCCCTTTTTTTAAAGCAGCAGCTAAACAAAGAAAATTATGGCACAGACATTAAGCCACTGTGCTCTAATACTGTTAACGCGATCTTGAAAAGGTCTTACCTCTAAGACCAACGACACACAAGCTGGAAAGAAGGTCATGAAAACGAAGTAGTTGGCAAGAACTGACATGCAGCCAAAGCAGCACATGATCTCAAGTTGTCGTACTCCTATATAGATATAAATATATATATATATAGATACACACACACACGAAAAAGGCCAAATTCTTACATGGGAGCACAACATAAGTTTCCACATACAAAACGTGTTACAAGGCTAACAGGAAAAAAAAATATTTTGCTGGCTTGCTATATCACAGAAAGGACTGTTTTTCCCTTTGACTGAGAAAAGTGAATATATGATAAAAGAATAGTTCTGTATTTGTTTTTAAACAGATACACTAAAAAATATTTTTAGAACTTTCTAAACCTTCTGTTAGGATTTATAGTGTATAATGTGCCTCTAGGAATGAAACAAAACATAGTTAAGCATTAAAATATATTATTACTGTTCAAACACTAATCATAGGACTAGTCCCAACTTTTCAGGCTTCAGTTTTCAACTTCCATTCCTCTATCTAGCAGCAATAATAAACTTTAATCCATGATATTTTGGACAGTCAAGTATCCAAGAAGTCAGGAACATTTGCCTGCAGCTACTCTTTCAAAAACACTGAATGCTAACCAGTTCTCACCTTTCTTTCTAATTTTTGTTTTATAATCCAAAAACAAAAAAGTTCCAGAAGCAATTTAAAATGTCAGCATTTGTCTGGTCATAAACACTGCAAAAATGATATAATTATAATAAAGGTACATTTAAAATTAATTAAACTGAATCTTAAAAATGGCAACAACAACAAAGTTTAAAGGTATTCTTCACAGGGAAAAGACAGCCTTGTGCATTTTTCAGATGTACCAAAGTAGACAGAAAGGCTTTTCTTTTCAACTCTTTCCCTCCAGAAAAAGCGATTCATATTAGGATAGATAAGACCTGAATTTCTAAATGGACTTCATAAAGATAGGAGAACTAATAAAGTGTTAGAGAGAACAACAGAGAGTATACCAAGAACGGAAATATTTTTAATTGCATTATTTAACTCTTGTTGGCAAAATTATACACTTTTTGGACATGTTACAGATTCAACACCTGATGTCTTCAGTTAAAGTAAGAGAACTAACTGGATAAATCCTCCAATATATCCAGCAGGTCCCACAGTGGAAGTGACAAGCAAATTAATATTCCAGGTATTTTTAAAAGGTAAACCAGCAAGAAAAAATACCCTCAGAAATCCACAGACTACCAACTCATTTTAGACATTATTACAGCATATTGTATTTATTGGTGACATTACTGGCTACACTGGCCAAAAAAAGCCAATAGCTGGTTTGTTAATTTCCCTTTTATAGGTGACGATCTGATATGGCACAGATATATTGGTGCACCTCTACTTTAAAGTATCTAAGATAGTTAAATTTTAAAAACCTTAAATATTGTAAATATCCCTTTTTGTGGACTTATGGCTTACAGTTTATTCTAAAAAATTATTGAATTATTTATGTCTGAAAAACTACTACTTTTTACACTTAACTACTTCTCCTTAATTACTAGACTTAGAATCAATGAAGATCAAGAGGTATAGGAAAGAAAAATGTCACTGGAAGTTTTAGTTAAAACAGCCTAATAATCCTTAGCACATAGTTCCAATTTAGAAACATTAGTTTTTGCAACAGCATGATGTAGGCAAGCGAGTGGTTTTCTCTCATCCATTTGTAAAAACAATTCCACTATAATGGAAGATTTTAATTTAGTCAGGGATAGAAGCACAATACAAGATCCAACTCCGCAAATGGATACGTGCAGGAAAGCTTTGTACCTGCACACTATCGCATAAGAACCCAAAGGAATTAATTATTTTTCCATTGGGTCATCAGACCTCAGTACTATTCAGATCTGAACAAAAAAAACAAGTACTTTCAAAAAACAGTGGCATCTCCCCTACCGTGCCCACACTGTGAAACATGATGGGTCAAAAACATCAATTATTTGAGGACCTGAAGACACCCGATACCATACTTCAGAGAACTAGACCCCTGATTTTAATCACTCACCGGACATGGTACCAACACCAATCACAAGACACTCAACGAGGGCATCTAGTGTAAATGTAGGACCCAAGATTGCCATTCCACGTGAAATATTTTCTCTTACTTCATCCTATAAAAACCACAGAAATCTCTATCAATTAAAACAAAGATAAAAATTGGAAAATAGGAATATCTGCAGTTACTGTAGTCCGCAGAGAATGGTTAGACTCACAACTTTTGATTCCTGAAGAATTGGATTGGCAGGAGTCAGAGGAAATATGCAATGACAGGCATAACTGGTGAGCTAGATTTGTTCCTAGAACCTCTTAATCCTCCAAAATAATAAGATACAGGCCCCCCGAGCAGGACTAAGCCTGTTCTTACATTCTTAACTTCATATAGAAGTATTATAGTTATAACTAACAAAGCAAGGATTAAAAAGGCTTAACTCCTTACTCAGTATAGATGTTCATTGCTCAAATTCTCCTAAGGCTATATTTGTTCTTTACTTTAATCATTTCAGTTCATTCAGGCTGTTATCCCTTTTCTTAAACATTTTTATTACTTCATCATTTATGTAATCTGATTAATTAAAAAGTAACTCTTTATTTTAGATAGCAGGTGTTCTGAATCACATTTAAATTAAGACAGACTTCTGATTAAAAAACTATGTAAGGTTTTTAAAAAGATACAACATATCAACACAGAACTACTTTATTTCTGTGCCAACTAGCTTTTAAATAATAGTTGTTTTCTATTCTAAGAAAATTAAGACTACTCTGGATCATAGGCTGAGTCCTAAACAACACATCCCTTTTTCTTATGAAACAATCCATTTAAAAAGGCATTCCAGGTCTCCCAAGAAAAAAAATCTCATGAGTATAATTGTTCATGAAGAATTCTCCTCTCTCACAGGAAGTTTAAAAATGTCTTTTTCTTCAAAAAATAAAATTATATCTAGATGCTTGGATCTGAAAGTCTCCAAATTCAAAAGCTTAGTCCTACTAGACAGAATTTAATGATAAAGCTATAAAAATTATTATAATGACATTAGTGTTAAAATAGAAATTTCAGACTTTAAATGGAACAACATAAAGAGGTCAATGAAAAAAGAGAAAGACTGGAGCCCAATCTGAAAAAGTCACTGACAACAATCCTACGAAAACTGACAATGTTTAAAAAAAGTAAATATTATGATTTATCATTACATTTCACATTCCAGTACAGGGCATTATTATTCACCAATTTTAGGAGACTAAAAATTGCAGGAATTCTCTCACAACCCTTAATTCCAGTAATTAATATTATAACTTGCTTACTGTATTTTCTCCCTCACAATACACTTTCCCCCCAAAATAGATGTTGAACAAAACATTAGAAGAAGTATGGTGATGGCAGTTTCTGCTGCTTGTTCTGGCTGGTCAAAAACAAAAGTACAGTCAGCACATGATCCATAGGGAGCAGAACAATAAGTAGCTCGGCTCCCCTGGTGCTGCTACTCAGTTACGTGCTAAAATGAAAGTTTTTTTCATTCGAAAACAAGGTGCAAAACAAGGTGCAAATGTTATTGCAGGGTGTGCTGTATCCAAGAAAATATGGTATTTATTCATTAAACTAAATCGCCTTTCTTACAGTTTTGTATCTTAAAAAAGGCAAGGATTCTTGCTATAAATAAAATCAGTGAGATGCAAAAAGGCAGTTATTTAGATTTGCATATGATTAGGATAGGGAGCTCAAAACTGAGGCCACACAGTGCTTGGATACTTAAAGCACGCAAACAAAACCCCCACAAAAAATACGTTTCATACAAGAAAGCACAAAAAGTTTTTTTTTCTCTCCTTTTTACTTAAGCATTGTTCAGGTGGTTGTACATATACCTTACAACCTTTATTTTAATTAGTTTTTTGTCTGTAATTGATAGCTTTACTAAATAGGTTTGCTTATTGTCTTTACGCTAAAATCACAGGCCCAGATCTTGTAAGCAATTCCATACAAGTGACTCTGCTAAATCTGACTAGTCCTATTGATGTTTTAGTCAGGCTACTCATTTAACCATCTCCTAACCTAGAATATCAGAAAGTTGGAATTTTGAATTTCATAATGGAATTCATAGTAGATTTTATATTCTATATTAACAGACTTGACAGAGCATTAGTAGGCATAGTTTTGTCTATGCATATCTCAGTTCTCTGGCACTCATATTCAGGTGATAAATTCAATAGCTAAATTATAAAAAAAATACTCACCTGTGAGTTGGAACTGAGTGCAAATTTAGCTAATGCACTGGCTCTGGAAAGATCAATAAGAAGCAGGAAAAATGGCAATGCCTCACTGAAACAAGAGGAACTTGTTAATGACAAATATCGTTACATTAAAATAAACTAACAAAAGCCCAAATCTCTGCATTCTTTCTAAAACAGAGGGGAACGATTTTTGAAGAGGGGGCTACATATGTTAATCTATCAATTATAGAGTTCTAAATAATTTAGATCAGAAAAACTCTTGCATCATTTCAGAATGAAAAAAAGTTCCATTTGTCTTTTAAAAACCTAAAAACACATAATACTTACTTCAAGCCTGTCAGTTCTTTATCCAGGAAGTGAATTACCACTGTACTAAAAACAAAACTTGAGAAGATTGTGAAGAGGCCAGCAATACCTTTAAGAAAAAAATACTAAAAGTCACACCTTTAGACACCAGCTAAGACAAACATGAAAAGTCAAACAGCTTACAATCTAATTTTCAACTTTGTCAAAAGGTATTTTTTCCAAAAGATTCTAGAGTCCAAGTCTTCTCTTTTGCAAGAATAAGCAGTTCTCCAAGACTCAAAAGTATTTTAGTGCTACTGTAACCCAGGGTATTTATTTGATATTCCGCCTCTTTTGAGCACCAAGGCAATTCCAGCTAATTCTACATTTGGGAAGGATGATTTGGTTCATACCATAACATTACCTAGAGAAGACAGAAACCAGTTTAAAAACTAAAGGCTAAATTTAATGCAGTAAGGGTTTTTTCTCAGCTGCAGAATACAATGAATACTCATGAGAAAATACCACTTTTTCTTGTTATTAGAGAGCAAGACCTATCAGAACGTCAAGTTGGGTGCTTACTGGGAAAACCTAAAACATAAGAGCGAAAATCATTTATGAAATTACTACTGCAGTAAAATCCCATTGTGATCAGAACTGCACACAGATCCAAATAAGGGCCACTAAGATGGTTAAGGAATGGAAACTTTTTTCTATGAAAAAAATTAAAGAAGCTTGGCTTGTTTGGCTTAACCAAAAAAGAGATGATGAAAGACAAAGCAGAGCTGTACCTTAAAAATTGGTCTGTTAGGTGCAACTCTTCCCTACCTTCCGTCTGATTGCAGACTGACATAGCTAAATACCTCCCTTTTAAAACAGAAATGGAGAGGGCACGTGATTACTCTTTACATATATGTTTGTAGGGTAAATATTTGGGAAGCAGAAGGACTTTTTAGGCTGAAAAATTATGCTAGCACAAGGCCAAATGGCAACAAACTGGAAACTATAAGAAAATTTCTAACCAAAGGAATAAAGTTTTAGAATAATTTTCTGAGTCAATTAGATGGACAAAGGAACTTGAATTGCTTTAAAACTGAACTCGATAAGTAAATGGTAGGGTTAGTATGATATATGGCAAGACAGAGATTTATGGCAGTGCATCTCATACAGAAGCCATATTCTCAATCCCAGTGTTGGGGTATAACATCTAAGCTGTAAAATCTTTAAAATACAGATTTAAAAACGCTGGCTAATTAAAAACAAGACCTTCCAAAGGAGATCCTTCTATAAATAAAATCTATTTTTTTATGGTTAGTGTAGGAAGGAAAGGTGATATGCGAAATCTAGTCTAAGAAAAAATGTATTTGGCTTTGGCTTGTTTTACTTTAATCCAGTAGTTAGTCTTTTGCCAAATATTTACAAATTTGTTTCTTTTGCAATTCAAGTCATTTCAGTACGGGAAGACTGATGGTGTACAAACTTCTGATAAACTGGCATTCAGATGTTAATGTCATCTTTTTAAATTATTAAAAAAACCCAGAACCATGTTTTAACGATGCTTAAAATTAAAATTACTGCTACATTTAAACAAAATAAAATATCCAGAGAAATTCAAATAAAGATCTCCTGGCTTCTCACTAACAGAAAAGAAAAGAACATCAGCTACTCTGATTTCTCAGGATGGCCAAACTAAAAAAGTTGATCCCACTATACATGTAAGTATTTATAATCTAATATTCACTATCGTTCTACAAAAAAATAAAAATAAATTTAAAAAAAAAAAATAATCAATAAATATATAAATAATAAATGCAAAATGAGATACAATACCTAAAATATATTTTGATCCAAGTTGCCTTAGATTCTGAAACTGGAAGTAAATGTAAAGGATTGCTATACAGCGTGTGATTGTCAGGATTATGATATCGCTGCTCAAAACATCCTGTTTAAAATAAAAACAGCTTTAGTTGGCTTTCATATTAAAAATCAGATGACTGCTTAACAATTAGAAGTACCACAGGTAAGGCTATTAAAAAAAATCATGGAATTTTATCGTAATACAGCAAGGACTTACCTTTTATCAAGTATTCAAAAATTTTAAATATTGCAAAAATATTGAAGTATTAATGCCAAGTCTCTGTGATCTAGCAAGTATAATAGGATTAAAAACTCAATTAAACAAAGACCTACTGTATCATACTGTCAAACACCTGCTCATAGAACTATAAACTTCCAAAAACAGGGAAATGATGTGGACATTTTTTTTTAGCGGCTAGCATGAGAATTACTTTATTTCTAATAATGCAGTAAGATTCTTCAGCATCTGCCTCTACTGTATGAGAAAAAAATCTGTATTTTAAACAGAGAAGTTTCAGATAATTAGTATACCAACTATACAAAGCAATTTTAAAATTCTTACTTCTTCAAACTTTGGGCACTCATAATTCCAGCCACAGATCTTATCATTGCCTGTAAACATCTTCATAGACATCATACAAATGGTTAATGTCACAGTCCCAACAATGACTTCCCATGGATGAGAGGCAACAAAAAGTCCATGCATTCGAAAGAGCCTAGACAGCATTTTCATGTTTGTTTGTCTTATACCTAGAACGATATGCAATAGAAGAATATTTAACATAGATAAGTGAAAGACATGGAAAAAATGAGAAAAATCTGTAACTTCCTCCCAGCTACTTCCCATCAGCTTTGTTTTATCTTATTTAAAAAAATCTTAGCTCCATCACCTTACCTTCCAATTTAAAACAATGAATTTATTTCTACTGTCCCCAAAAAACATTTACCAATCTGTTCTACAGCTGCCTCAACATGCAAAGAAAAAAAAATACCCCAAAACCATACGTGGCTTTTCCATCCCAACTTCTCCAGGCAACATACCATCACTTCCCTAATCCTCCTCCAAGCACCTACTTGAAATCCCTGGATTTCTTCTTTTCCTATCTCTTCTATCCTCCATAACTATTTATGAATTACACTGGCCTTCCCTCTAGTCAGTTCTGCTCTGTAATTATTTCCTGACTTCTCTGCCCTTAACAAGTCAATTGTTCCAACTTGCACATGCAAGGGCTATGAAATCTCCAGACTCTGCCTACAATTTAGATTTCTGTGTTAGTAATAGTTAGTTAGTGTAGACCAACCATGAACATTTTAAACACTAGGCCAATTAACTCTGCTTAACCAAAGATACCACATGCAAAATATAATATATGTCCTATGCTATTGCTCCCATTAATGCTATTATGGTATTGGGAAATTTTCACAAAAAATGGTAAGTGCACAAGAGGCCTTAAGTTCTTACTGCAGCATCTTCTTTTTCAATATTTCTTTGGGGGACTCCTACTTTTAACAGACCCTTAACAAGGCTCCTGGCTTGACTTCTTCAATATACTATCTCATTCCCTCCACACAGTTTTAATGATTATTTTTATACTTATGACCAAACTGACCTATCAGATTTTTCATCATGCATCCACATCTCAAAAACCTTGACATCTTATTTACACTTCAAACATCAACCCCCTTATTAACTTCTCTATCAGTTCCCTGCATTTTCCCCACCCAACCCTACAACTTTAATGCTATTTTGACTCTTCCTTTTTTCATTCCTCTTCTGCATGCAGGCACTCTACCACTTTATCTTCATTTCTCCTGTTAAAACCTGGATCATTTGCACCTCTACTACATTCAATCTGCTCTAGCCTACCTGCCTCACACCATGCCTATCATTTCAGATCAATTTAAAAGCAATCCCAAAACCCTTGAAGGTGGCACCGCAGATTGACACATTAGAGACTACCTGGTTCAGAGAAGCATAAGCTTTCATAGGTGTCAGCATTTAATGAAATAGGCTACATTACTCTCCAAGGTTCCACCCTGCCCTGCCTCCTGCTTGACTTCAGACTAACATGGCTAACCACCTTTCTGAAGACTGTCAAAATGAAATGGTGGTGGTGTCACTGAAATCAATAGCAGAAATCTTACCAACTTTGATAGTCAGAATTTCATCCCTGTTCTTCATAAGGATCAAGGTTAGCAACAGTCCTGAACCTTCCTGTCATAATTTCCACTTTTCTAAACAAACAACAAATTACTGACATTTTTGAAAGCCGATTTTACTTCATATACTAATTTTAGATGCCTAAGAGTAAAGCTAACAAATATACCAATGTAAAATTACTTTATTTGAATCTATTTAGAAACAAATGTATTCATTTGATTGGGAAAATAAATGCACAAAATATTTAGTATTTTGGAGAATTAGTTATTGATACGAAACATAAGGGTGCTTAACTACTGACACTGGTTAAAAATAATTCCATCAGCCAATGACAGGCTCCCATTTGTAACCCAATAATTTTTTAATAGTATTATTAACTATTTATCTGCCTGGAAGCAGCAGTTTCACTGAATAAACACATTTAGCTTCTTTTAAAAAGAACTTTAATACTGCATACTTATTGGATTACTGTGCATTGTAAAATGAAAAACATTTGCAACTTTACAAGCACAGACACCTAATTCTCTTTAAACAGGAAAACATAATAATAAAGTGAATACAACTATGCTTACTATTGTTGCATAAGGTGATAGGGCTCTACTGTATTTTTGATGACTCAGAAATATAAATGTTATAAAGTCTAGCGCCTTCCAGCTTGCCCTCATTTTCCACAGCAAGATCTATTTTCTCAGCACAACTGTACTTCCTAGTAAGCTGACAAGTCCACTGATCCTAATTCATTCTCTGAAAACTGGCATACAATAATCTTTCTTCAAGTACTCCGTCCTCGTGCAAGGCGCCCCGGGGACACCGTGCAGCAACAAGTGGGCCCCATAGACAGTCTGTCAACTGTCCACACAGCAACATTAAATTCCAGCAGTGTAAGAAGGCAGCCAGGCATCTGGAGTCACTTCTGTACCTAGGGGCACTTGCAACAGTTACCACCACTGCTGCCAAGCTTGCATGGCTGCAGCAAAAGCCATTACTTATTCAATTTAACCAGAACATCAAAAAGCACTTACGAAATGCAAAAAACTCCAGGTGCCTTGCCCAAACATGAAGTTTACAAGCCTACTTACAAAAACACAGGCTCCTACAACCTTCTCAAATCCAAGAAAGAATTAAGGGATGAAAAAAGGAGACGAAAACACACATTAAATACTTTTAAACTGTAGCTGGCCAAAAATTGCAGTGACCTGCAAGGAAAGAGACTAACTATGTGCCACTTCATCAAGAGCAGGGGACAAAAAAAACAAAACAAAAAAAACCCAACAGCATCTTATTAAACCATCAAAATAACATCCCATCAAGCCAGCAATAATCTCCCTAAAAACCATCCAGTCAGGTTCCCTCTCCAATTTCATCACCTCTAAGCCCAAGTAAAATTGCGGTCAAACACAATTAGCACTAAGAGGTAAGCACCCAAGTAACGTAATCCCATCGTTATTACAGTGATGATGACATCCCTAGGTGTCCCCCAAGGTGCTTTCAGGGTGGATCTATAGTCACTGACTGGTATGACTATCGTTGCCCTTTCTCTACTTCTCCAATCCTACCTCTTTCAACACCCAGGGCCTCTGGCTGTGCTGCGCACCGTTCACTACAGTCAGTCATTTTTGAGCACCCTACAAAGGTTTGCAGGAGATGGATGCACCTTTATTTGAGTCCTGGGGTAAGAGACCCCCCGCCCTTCCCCTGCACACCAAGGCCGGGAGACCCCCCCCCAAGGCAAGTTCTTTCTGCGGTTTCAGACGAGGCCCCAGAGAAAACAAACCGACGTCCCGCAGACTGGGCGATCAGAGTGGTGCCCAAAGCGATGCTCAGGCGGCCCCGCCCACACAGCAACTGCACGGGCCGCGCAGCGGCGAAGTGCCCAGAGCCGGGGCGGCCGGCCGAGAGCCAGCAGGGCAAGGGCCGCACCAGCCTCCCGCACTGCGCCCCGCACAGCCGCCGGGATCCGGGCGGCCTCCGTCCCCGTCCTCCTGCGCGGCGCCCCGGGGATAAGGGGGCGCGGAACCAGCTCATCTCCCCCGGGGGCAGGAGGCTCCTCTCAGCCCCTCGGCCGCTGCCGGACCCACCCAACGAACGCACCCGTCACCTCGTCCCCTGCAAGCCCTTCCGCCAGGCCGCGGGCGCGGCCCGGCCCCGAGCGCAGAAGGCCCCAGTCGCAAAGAGGCTGCCCGCGGCGCGCCTGATGGGAACGGCGGCCCTGCCGCACTCACCGCCCGCAGGCCCCAGCTTCGCGCCCTGCTGCCTTCCGCGTCGCTAC